TTCCCTATATGTACATTTGCATACTTTTATTTGCTCCCTATATATTTGCTTTTTAATTTTATTTTAAGCTATTACTTAGTCATTATTGCGCTTATTTTGTATAATTTTTTGCTATATTTTAGTAAATTTAATAATTTAGTAATTTATTAAATTTAATAATTTATTTAAATTACTTTCAGTAATTTTAATAAGTAATTAGTAATTTATTTAAATCTTTATCTCGTTGGGCAAGTGTTTAATTTGTATCATAGTTTTGGTCTGTGCATTTAAATAAAGGACATATAGGGGCTAGTGGGATATGTGTGGTACTCAGTGCCCCTAACATTTTTGAGTGTGCACATTTATAGTCAACCATTTCATGATTTTGTCATACGCTTTACTGTTTCTTGATACTTTTATCAGTGCAGCCTGTCCCGTGTATTGCATTTGTTTTCACATACGGCTGATTAAGAAATTTTCTTATAATTTTTGATTATTTACTTATTTATTTATTAAGAATATTGATATTTTTAATACATGTAATTATTTGATACTTACTTTGTATTACATTATATATGTCTACTCTGTATTTATCTCTCATCTTTTTTCATATATTAATATGAAAAAACCCTCAATCTTCGATGAGTGTATCAGTTATAAGTTTTCAATTTTCTATTCCAAATTTCTTGAACTGAACTATTTTATTTGTATTTCTCCTTTACTTCATAACTACTTCATTATTATATTGACAGAATTGAGTTCAGATTTTTATATTTGAATATTATAGACTATAGCTGTGTTCCAAAATTCACTGACAGTGCGGTAAAGCCGTTCCAAAATGTATCCTAGTGCGTTACGATAGCACTGCAATAGAGTAATGATGTCATAGATTTTGTTGTCATTTCCCACTGTGACTACTGTGACTACTGTGACTGAAAAGATGCAGCAATCACAATACAACATGGCAAAGAGGATAATAACTCTGCTCAACGCAGAGAAGTAATATTTAATATGAAATGATGAAGAAAGAAGCATAAAAAGTTGTATAAAAATTAGAAGGTAAAAATAAAATTGTATTAATAAACATATATACATATATTTAAATATATAAAAATATTGTAAACATATTTACATCAATAATATAAATTCATATTTAAAAAATAATAAATGAAATAAAATCATACCTATTATGTCCTTTGGAAACAAGTATGGTTCTTATACATTTTTATTATATTCTTTAACAACATATCATTGCTTCTTCTTTGAGCCGACATTTTATTTTGATCTTCCTTAAAATTCCGTCCTTTTCTACTTATCTTAAACCACAAAATTATTACAATTTATTACATTATAATAATTTATTCTCTTAAAGTAATTCTTTACAATTTAATTTCGACTTAAATATTGAATTTCCATAAAAATTCTAAGAGATAAAAATCTTTATTAAAAAATTCATTAAATAAATAAACTAATTTAATACTAAATAATCATTATTTACTGTCTACATACAAAAAATACTCATAATAATCTATTTATTTAATTTAACTAAAACCAAAAAGAGGTAAATTATTGTTAATAATTTAATTGAATTTATTTATATTTCTAGTTAGAAATAAAGGAAGAACACTGTTTATAATACAAAACAGTCACTATTTATGCACACTTACTGAATTACTAATCACTTTATCACTTTATTTTTTGTATGAAATCTTTGTTCCCGCCATTTTCTGTTTCTATGAGGCCGCGTTCCGATATTCACTATAATACGTGATACTTAATATATGTGACCTGAATTATATATTTTCAGTACTGGTAGTATATATTTTCAGTACTGAATATTGGAGTGCAGTCTATCTTAAATGATTGTAATAGAAAGCGAAAATAGAGAAAAATAAAATAGAATATCAATGCTGTGATCGACTAGCTACCTCGTGCATGCAGTTCATTTTTCCAAGTTGAAATCGCGAGAGTTGCGTGTATATATTGTGGCTGAACACAGCCATTGTCGAGTAAACACGTGTTTCTTTCGAATAGTCTTGTTGAGATCTCTGAGATAAGTTGATGTGTTCTGTTTTTGTGTAAATTTTTTGAAACGGCTGTGACGCTTCGCGTTTTGTTTTCCTATCATTTCGAACTTTGTTACATCATTTGCTGAGTTTGCTTAACACATTATTTTTGTTAATTATTCGTGATCTGCATTGATTCATGAGTCAAAATCATTAAGAAACAGTAGTCACTTCAAATAACTTTTGCACAGTGAACAATTATTAGTGATTTTATATTGAATAATTAGTTATTGATTGATTTATTAATAAATTCCTTGTTTAATTGATTAAGTGAGTGAATGATGTGAAGTGTACTGCATGAATGTGTTGAAATATAATACAATTTATAAAGAAAAGTAGAAGAATTTTTAATTAGTTATTCGATATGGATCTGTTTCATCGTTAGAGTCGACTGATCATTATGCAAAGTCATACGTGAGTATAAACATTCAGCTTGTTCGTTGCTCCTTCCGCTTCTCTCTCTCTCTTTCTCTCTCTCTCCTCCCCCTCTTCCTCTCTCCCTCCCTCCTCCCCTCTATTTTTCTTCTTTTTTTCATTACTGTTGATGATTTATTTTATCACTCAATATTTATATGCATATATTTCTAATATTTAATTATATATATATATATATATAATTATATATATAAATTATATAAATATGATTTAATTCTTTAAATATATTATATATTTAATTTTAACTTACAATATATATTTTAAAAATTAATTTCTTGACTTTTTTCAACAATTTATTTTATAATATCCTTTTTTCTTTTATTCTTTTATCCGAATTTTGACTTGTGTATGGTGAAAAAATACATCCATGAGTGCTCGGAATTTGGGCCAGCTCGAATAATAGACAAGGGCAGCCATCTAACTCTCGCGCTATATTCTCGCTAGCCAAATTAGGCCTAAGGCTTGTTCTACAACAAGCTGCATGTCGGTGTCACAAGCCGCAAGTCACAAGAATGGACCAATCACAAACGAATAGGAGGGGAAATATTTGATTGTGATTGGCCCATTCTTACAGTTCATGCCATCGACAGACGACATTCATTGTAGAACAAGCCGAAGGACGGTTGTAACAGAGTCGCAGTCGTAATCATAGTCGTAATTCCAACGCACAAGGAATTGGCGACATATATCCTTTACAGCCTGTTTTACAATGCATCATGTATCGGTATCGTGGGTCGTGGGCCATAAGAATGGGTTAATCACAGTCGAATGTAGGGAGAATATTTGATTGTGATGCATGACGCATTGTAGAACAGGCTTACCAATTTATTGTGTGTTGTTGGAGTTATGACTACGATTCTATTACGCTCATCTTTCCGCTTCGGAAGCTTTCGCTTTCCTAAATTTACTCGTTTGATGATTCTAATGTCGAGCCACTCGCGTTTCCCATTCTACACATTGATATAAATTGATATACAGGCACATGCGCGCGCGTCCACACACACACACACACACACACACACACACACACACACACACACACACACACACACTACACTACTAGTTATAATAATA